CTTGTGTTCCAGTGGGTGGTGGGAGTCAAAACGCAAATATTGGTCTGTGTGGGTGGGCTTATGATATACGCCATAAAAGCCTGAATTTTTCCTGAAACTCTCAGACTGACGAAGTCTCTTGGAGGAGAGACGAAACGTTTCATTAGAGAAGAACCCGTCCAGAAGACCTATACAATTTTTTCTTTTTGATTTTTTACCTGGATTACTGAGATGCATCAGGGCATCTTTCAGAACGTTATCCAACTATTAGAAGTAGTAGTTTTGATTTTAAGAGTCATGGCTTAGTCAAAGGTACTGGGTCAGTCTTACTGTCATCAAAGTAGTACAGCTTCATGGTGAGGTAGACGTTGTTGGGCAGAGCATCCAGGTTCTGCATCAGCAGGAAGAGCTTCCTGATGAGCAGCACTGACGCTCTTTTGGTGTCCTCCAGAGTCACCTGTAACTTAATATCATTGTTCCTGTGTGTTCACAAAAATTAGGTCATTATTTCAAATCAAATGGGTCATTTTTAGATGATAAACGCAAAAAAAACAATAGATAAATTCAAACCTGAGTATGTCCATCTCAGGTCCATTTTCAGTGTATSTGAAGTTGAACTGATATGATTCAATGACGCACTGCAAATTTAAAAAAACATAAAAATAATGTTTCTAAATGATGACTCCATTAATGCTACAAAATAAACACAAAGTATCTTAAGGTACAACGTACATTAGGGTCCTCTTGATTGGTGTAGACCTGGATTGCAACAAAAACGACTTGCTGTTAACGTCACAAAGCTAAAACTGATGAGATGCCCTAATTATAGAGCACTTACCCCAATGCATATAATCTGCAGCTGTCAAAAGGACAAGATGGAATAAAAAATGAAGGACTGATCAATCTAGAACACCTGAAATGTTCAAATAATCAAGGATGTAATCGACTTACATACTGCTTCTCTAAAGCATCGAAGCAGCCCATCATCCTGGACAAACAAAGTGAGAAGCAATAACTGTAAATATGTTTGTAAAAAAGGCAATTTAGAAGTGAATGCTTCATTTACCATTTCACAATTTTGCTAGCACGAGGGGTGCTGCAGTTTTCACGCAGAACTTTGATGCACAAATCTGGAGAAATAAAACAGGACAAAAAAATAGGATAATTCTTAACAAAGCATGATCACAATTAAGGTTTTGATTTTGTTGTGCAAAACAGTCACTCTCTTATGGTGGGTTTCTAATAGGGCTGCACAATATATCAAACATTTACCGTCATCACGATAATAGCCCATGCAATGTGCATATCGCAACGACTGCATAAACAGCAATAAATGGTTTGCATTTATCTGTTTTGTCATTCAGGTGGAAGCTTGAAATATTTCACCAATCAAACGGAGCCCTTTATGTATTTGGTCTATTAAAAACAAATTCAGGCTGGAATAGAAATGATTAGTTTCTTTTAGGTAGTTTTTTTTATTTTTTTTTGGGCTTTGAACCCAGAGCAGAAAGATATGAACACTACATTTATTTGTATTTGTTCATTTATCACAAGTGATATCGTCATCGCAGTATTAAGCACTGTTACCGCAGGTTTTCCTGATATCGTGCAGCCCTAGTTTCTAACTCACTTGAGACTTTAATGCATGTTATAACTTCAGACAAATCCCTACCAGGTGTGCCAGATAAAATCCCAGATACTCCTAAATGCAGAGTTGTAAAATAACTAAGTACAAATACTTTGTTACTGTACTTAAGTAGAATTTTTGGGTATCTGTACATTGAGTAATTATTTTTCAGCCTACTTTTTACTTCTACTTCTTACATTTTCACACAATTATCTGTACTTTCATTTTTAGAAAAGGTACGAAGTAAAAAGTCAATGGGCATCATGCAAGAACATGTTCGTATTCTTATCCTAAATTTCTCTTACTTTTGTTCGTACAAAGGGTTCGTAC